AGCAGAGAGACATTACACTGGGAATGGCAGAGCTGCTAGACAGTGCATTGGAAATAATATAGTTGCTCAACAGCGCACTGGGAATGGTAGACTGAAAGACAGCACACTGGGACTGATAGAGTTGCTAGACAGTGCACTGGGAATGATTCAGCTGCTAGACAGCACATTGGGAATGATAGAGTTGCTAGACAGTGCACTGGGAGTAATATAGTTGCTAGACAGAACACTTGGAATGAGTTGCTAGACAGCACACTGGAAATAAAAGAACTGCTAGACAGCGCACTGGGAATAATAGGGTTGCTAGACAGTGCACTGGGAGTAATAGAGTTGCTAGACAGGGCACTGTGAGTAATAGAGTTGCTAGACAGCACACTTGGAATGGAAGAGCTATTAAACAGTGCACTGGGAATGATAGAGTTCCTAGACAGTGCACTGGGAGTAATATAGTTGCTTGACAGAACACTTGGAAAGAAAGAGCTGCTAGACAGTGCACTGGAAATGACAGAGTTGCTTGACAGCACATTGGAAATGGTAGACATGCTGGTTAGTGCACGTGGAATTATAGAGCTGTCAGACAGTGCACTGAGAGTAATGGAGTTTATAGACAGCAAGCTGGGAATGGTAGAGCTGCTAGACAGCACACTTGGAATGGTAGAGCTACTAGACAGTGCACTGGGAATGATAGAGATGCTAGACAGCGCATTGGAAATGGTAGACATGCTGGTTAGTGCACATGGAATTATAGAGCTGTCAGACAGTGCACTGGGATTAATGGAGTTTATAGACAGCACGCTGGGAATGGTAGAGCTGCTAGACGGTGCACTTGGAATGACAGAGTTGCTAGACAGCACACTGGGAATAACAGAGCTTGTAGACAGGGCACTTGGAATGATAGAGTTGCTAGACAGCACACTGGGAGTAATAGAGCAGAGGAACATTACACTGGGAATGGTAGAGCTGCTAGACAGTGCACTGGGAATAATAGAGCAGAGGAACATTACACTGGGAATAATAGAGCTGCTAGACAGCGCACTTGGAATGGTAGAGTTGCTGGACATCACACTTGGAATGATAGAGCTGCTAGACAGAACACTGGAAATAATAGAGCAGAGGAGCATTAAACTCGAAATAATAGAGCTGCTAGACAGTGCACTGGGAATAATAGAGCAGAGGAACATTACACTGGGAATAATAGAGCTGCTAGACAGCGCACTTGGAATGGTACAGCTGCTGGGCAGTGCACTGGGAATGGCAGAGCTGCTAGACAGCGCACTGGGAGTGATAGAGCAGAGGAGCATTAAACTCGAAATAATAGAGCTGCTAGACAGCGCTCTGGGAATCATAGAGCTTCTAGACAGCGCACTGGGACTGGAAGAGCTGCTGGACAGCGCACTGAGAATTATAGAGCTGCTAGACAGCGCACTTGGAATGGTAGAGTTGCTTGGACATCACACTGGGAATGGTAGAGCTGCTGGACAGAACACTAGAAATAATAGAGCAGAGGGACATTACACTGGGAATGGTAGATCTGCTAGACAGTGAGTGCACTTGGAATGAGAAAGCTGTTAGATAGCGCACTGGGAATAGTAAAGTTGCTAGACAGTGCACTTGG